AAGCCAATCTGTTTCTTTATATTTTTTTAACGTAGCAATTTGAAAATTTTAAATTACGCGCGTGATTCGCGCTGCATTTCCACCGGACGGCGATGCTCTGTCGCGCCGCCCTCTTGGCACTGTGTGGAGCTACAGGTGCGCGTTACCTGGTCGGGTTTCTGCTCAGCTGGCGCTTAGGACAGGAACTCGAGTGTCTTATTCACGCCCGGTTCCCGGGCCCTCGGGACAGCGCCTGGAGCTTAGTAAGTACTTCATAGGTTTTGAACGAATGACCTTCCTCTTCCTCAGCTGGACAAGCGTGAACTCTGTCGCGCCCCAAAACCCAGAGTCTGAAGTCCTCTGGGTTACCCCTGCTGCTCAGCCCTAACCATATGCTCCTGACCCTGGGAAGAAGGATGACTGGAAATCCTCATTCGCTAGAACCTCCTTCTCTGTGGAAAGAATGGGTCCCACAACCGCGCAGGGACTCCGCGGGAGAAGCGTCGCTCCTCCGCCCTCTTCCCGCTCGGGAACCCGCCCCGCGGCCCGGCACGGGCACTTTCCGCTCCGGCCACACGGCGGCGTCTCAGGCGGCCCATGGTACGGTCCGCTCCCCCCGCGCCACTCCGGCAGTGGGTCCTTCCGCCCGCAGAAAAGCATTGTGGGAGGGCAGCGCGGTCTTTCCTCCGCGCGGCTTCTCTTCTGTGCTACCCGCGCCAAGTCTGCGGGGCCTCCGGGATGCCGGCCAGTTCCGGCGGGCCGCGTGGCCTCCCGCGCCAGGACGCCGGGACCGGGCCGCGGGGAGCGCCCCCCTGAGCTTGCCGGAGCGTCCGCGGCGGCGCTCGAGAGTGACCGAGAACGCTGGGAGGGCGGCCACCTGGCCTCGGCCACGTTCTTGGAGGGACCTCGGGAGGGCCGTGCGCGGCCTTAGGCTGGCGTTCCCTTGCCGGGAAGTGGGGAGATGGTTAAATGGGTTTAGCGATCACCAACCCTGTGTAACTGTCTTGATGCCTCCCCCGCCCTGGGGCAAAGTTAGTGTGGAAGCAAAGCGCCGTTTAAGGCGTAGATGATTTCAGCCGCTTCCAGGTTCGGCACTTCGCGGTGCTGAGTATCGCCAATTCTGCTGGTGAGTGTTGTTGTTACGGGAAAAAGCCACTGCCGCGAGCTTTTAGGAATTTTAACTAATGGTTTCAAATATTTTCCATGTTTTAGTTTTTTTTAGTAGAACGTGGGGAGGTAATTCTCTGAAGAGGAGTTCCCTTCCAGGCGCTTGTCAGCACAGTTCCCAGCCTTAGGCAGTAGATGGAGCCGACCTCAGTTCAAATGTAGCCTTTGTGTTGCCCATTCACTTTGGAAACTAGTGGATGTGGTGTCAAAAAAGGCGTACATTAAATGCTTTGCGGCCTTTTCCTGCCCTTAAATCTGGTATTTTTGGTGTAGGAGCTGCATAAGTAACAGTTTACTAATGCTTTTGTTTACACTTGGGATCTCGAGCCTATCAGAGGTAAGCGTATGTTTCTTTTAACCGGTTTTAACTGATTTTTTTGTTCAGGTGAAAGATGGATGCTTGAAGCATAGACTGCTGCTAGCTGAGTACCACCTGGAAACACAAAAGTGACGGAAGGTAGGGTAATAAAGGGGTAATTACACCATAAAGCACTTTATAATGGGCATTTCATCACCTTTTAAATTGCAGAGCCTTCTCTAGTATCGTTAGGATTAATGGCTCATTAGTTTAGCACTACGTTTGTAGATGGACGGAGTTAACAGCAAATAGGACAGCCGCTTCCCAGCACTTGTGACAGTTTTGCTGATTTTTCTCAGCATCCCAGGGAAATAAATATACATAATACTGGCATTCTGCATCTCTTTGTATTTTGTTGTGTAGTAGCTAAATTTTAAACCCTGTTGAGTTTCAGACTTGTATCTTGGCATTTAGGGCCAAATCTAGAAATACAAGTCATGCAATACTGAAACATGTAGTGAGATTATTATTACCAACTTTATTAATATGTAACAAATGTAAATGTTTGCTCCTCAAATTGAGTACTGTATTTTTTTCTCTTAGGATGTCCTTGGTGAGGATTTTGAAAATTTGATCTTCGCAAGAGTTGATTGGATCACTTAAAATTTCCAGGAGCCTGAGGAGTACTGAAATAATTGCCTTTGAATGGCCCATAATGATACATTTATGACAATGGATATGAATAAATGTTAATGTGTTTGGAATTTAAGTCATTAACTGCCTGAAAATAGTTCTCTATTACTGAACAAGGTTTTCATTTCCCCTTTTCTCCCAGCAGCTTAAAAATCATGTCATACCTCAGCATTTGAGATTAATCTTAACTCCTATTACTATAATTGACAGGCTTAGGATGATTTGTTTGAGGTGATTTTTTCCAGCAACTCATGGTGAGTAGAACTAGATGAGGTGATGATTTCTAGGTCACAGGTGCACTTTTTTGCACTGTGTACTGTTTTTTCCCCCCCAGCTAGATGTTTGGCCTAAACTTTGTAGGAAAGAACAGTGTTCAGACATTCAAAAAAATTTATTGACAGTGCTATTCTAGGAGTTGAGAACACATGGTAAGCACAACACAGTTCCTCCCTTTGGAAGCTTATAGCTGAGTGGAAGAGACATCACAAATATGAAACTTTGATCATGAGATGAATCTCAGGGTAAGATTTGATCAAGTCAGAGAAACCTGAGAAAGTGGAGTTGAGACTGAAGGTAGGTTTTGTTTCAGCTAGAAGAGATAGGACCGTATGTCTGCGTCGTCGGGCTGTGTTCCCTCTTCAGAGCCCTGTTTTAGAATTGAGTTTTTTTGAGGGATAGTCTCACCTTGTCGCCCTGGCTAGAGTGCTGTAGCATCACAGCTCAAGCAACCTCCAGCTCTCGGGCTTAGGCGATTCTCTTGCCTCAGCCTCCCAAGTAGCTGGGACTATGGGCACTCACCACAACACCCGGCTATTTTTGGTTGCAGTTTGGTCAGGGCCAGGTTTGAACCTACCACCCTAGGTATATGGGGCTGGCGCCCTATGCCCTGAGCCACAGGCACTACCCTAGAATTGAGTTGTTAATGAGGCTTATAAGGTGGCTGTTAGGGGGAAGGGAGGTTATAAAATGAGTCTGAAAAGAGGTAGGTAAAGCCAGACCACTTAAGGCTCCCTCTCTCTTTATTAAAGCATGCAAGGGAATTCCACGGTAGAATTCAGATTGGCAAGAAAAGGAGGAATGCAGGTGGTCCAATTAGGCCACTACATTAGATGACTAGCAGCAAATACAATTGTAAGGGAATGGCACATAGTAGTTGAAACTGAATTCTGAGAAATCCTAGTAGCTGGTTGGCAATTGAACACCATAGTCTTAAACCAGTGGTTCTCAGCCTTCCTAATGCCGTGACCCTTTAATACAGTTCCTCATGTGGTGACCCCCAACCATAAAATTGTTTTCATTGCTACTTCATAACTAATTTTCCTACTGTTATGAATTGTAATGTAAATATCTGATGTGCAGGATGTATTTCATTGTTACAAAGGGGTCATTACCCGGAAATCTCCCTGGGATAGAGGAAGAGGGCCTAAGTCTGAAATTTGAGAAATTCCAGTAACTAATACCAGGGTAGAACAGGTGAGCTGCAAAGGATCTTCTAGATAGTGAGAACCAAATAGCGTTAAAAGAAGCAAAAGGAAAATCATAGGCCCCAAAAACTCTCCATGGGAACTAGTGACATGGTAGTAAGAAGCCCTGTTGGAGATGAAGTGGGGACTAGATGAATTGAGGGCACTGACCCAAGATGATGCACTGATGAAAATTAGTTGAGAATAGGAGAGGAAAGTAATGGTAGAGAGGGATTTGTTGTGGTTGTGAAGGTTGTGGCTTATTAGATCTTAGTCAAGTTTCAAACCAAGGAGCAAGGATCTAGCTTAAAGTGGTGGGGTACATTACTAACAGTGCAGAGAAATCCTGAGAAGCATGAAGGGACTTGGGAGGACATGTGGAAGGACAGGAAAGGGATTAGATAGTTAATTGCAGCTGTGGAGACGATTCTATGTGATAAAAGATGTCTTGCATAAATGTTTTCCCTGTAAGTTGCAAAGTCATCTGGGGAGAGGAAAGGTCTAAAATAGCCATTCTTGGGAAAGCAGGCAAATTAGATGGCCAGGCAGAGTTAAAGGAGCATTTGAGGTTAGCAGAGCTTAGCTGAAATCCACACTTAGCCTTTCTTTTTTTCTGAAAACACAAGAACACTTCAGAAATTAAAAGCAACACTTAAAGCTTTTTACATCATTTGTAAATACCTGGTAAACATAACACCACAAAATACAAGATTACAAGGAACTTAATATTTACACGAGTATCAGCAGTCTAAAAGTGAATCCTCAGTCCATGTGCATCTGGCCACTCTGAGAACCTCGCAGGGTTGGGAAAACTTTTCCTTCTGTGTGGCATGGTATTGCACAGCAAACCAGTTTCCATCCAGAATTCCAAAACGTTGAACAGAAGCATTTGGTCTTGGTTGTGGTGGCACAGGCACAAGATACCCAGAGTTGAATGGTTACTTTGTTTCAGGAAGGAAAATGTGGCATCAAATGAGTCTTTACAAAACTATCCTTCCAGTTAAAAAGGCCCTTCAGCCAAGTATGCTGTAACTAAGCCTTTAAAAGCAGCAAAAGATGCTGAAGAAACGTGAAGGTCCAAGATACTTGAATCAAATTACCTAATTCACAGTTTGAAAAGCTCTAGTGGCACATTAACACCCTCCCCACTCCCTTCCCTGGCCCTTGACCATGATCAAGTCTCTATCTTGAGGCGGGAAGCTTGGACAGTTTTTATTGTTTTTGCTGTGTGTTTTCCAACTAGATTGGTGGTAGATGTCTGAGATTTTTCTTCAATCAGGCTGTCCTTAGACCCGTTTCTTCTCTAAAAATGTATTTGAAAAATAAAAAGATTAAGAAAAATAGTCAAATCAAGTTTTTATTAAAACAAACTACTAACCTTTAAGATAATGAATTATAATTCAAAAAGTATCATAGTTCCAAAAGCTGTTCAAATATTCCCTCCAAATAGTTAACCGAAAATAAGCTTACATGTTTAGTCTTTGTTGATTAATACAGTTAAGTCTGACAGTTACATATATGTGAATTTTAGTCATGAAAAAGGCATAATTAACCCACGTGTCCTTGTGTGGATAATTTACAGACCAGGCTTCCACCTTTCCCACTTCTCCAAGCAAGGGCAGAGATGAAGAGAGTGGAGAGTTGGGGACTATGTGATCCCCTAATTATATTTTCTGGAGCTATTGAATGAAACAGTGTCTTGGGACTAGAGATAACTGTAATTTGAGGTGAGGAGAACTCGAGGTCTTGTAATATGAGTGTACCATCATTGGAGAAGAGAGGATCTAAATTGCCCAGAGCCTGGGCACCACAGCCAGTGCTTCTGGAATTAGCTCTTAGCATCTCCTGCGACCACATGTGGAAACCCTGAAAAATGGCACTAACAGTACCTGACCAGTTCTCTGCTCACCTTTTCTGTTCTTACCTCCAGGTAATAAAACCCTTTATTAAAAAGGATTTGTTCCATAAAATTTAGATTCAGTCAAAAGGCCACACTCAAAGATCCCGAAGGCTTCGTGTGGCCCCCAGACTGCAGGTTCCCTGCTTCACAAGCATGTTTACTTGCCCAGAAGTATATCTTCACACAATGGGCTGTACTTTCCAGAATTCTATTATTTTGAGATTCATTTGGGCTGAATATAAATCACCCTCTGAGAAGGAATTGTCCATCTGTCCTATGACTGCCTTACTTTGTTTTACTGACACTGAAAGACGCACCAATGGAGTAAGAAGTCTGCCTGGCACAGGAAGTATGAATCCATCTTTGGGATGGAAGATTTCTAGGTTGCTAGAGGTTGTCTCAAGAGGAAACCAATGCAGGTGAGAGGAAAACTAGAGTTGAGAGCAAAAGAATCACCGGAACAGGAGCTAGAAGGGGACTTAAACACAGATTTGTCTAGGATGGAATCTGTCTCTGCAAACCCGAAGTAAACAAGGAAATCAAAGTCACTAATCCACCCCACTCTTAGCAGCCTTTGCATGAAAAGGCCAGGTGAGGTGTAGGGCATGCCACTGGCAGAATCTCCCTCCCCAGCAGGACTTAAGGGATGCAACTTCCTGCTTCCATTGGTTACTCAGCTGCTCCTCAATGTGACAGCCACATTAGTGGCTTCTTTTTGGCACTTGGAATGAAATCCAAACCCTTTTCTCATATTCTTTAAGGTCCTGTGTTTCTTGCCCCCTTGTCCCCTCATGGTGCTCAGTCCACACTTGGCTCTCAGTTCCTCTAGAGTCAGCATTTCCCCCATGTTCTCCTCTCTGCTTAGATCAGCCCTGTGCCCACTCACGTGGCTGGTTCCTTAGGTGTTAGGTGTCAGCTTTAAACGGCACCATCTAAGCTGGCTTTCTGGCCAGCCTGAATATCTAAAGTGGGCTGCCCTGTTGGTTCTCTAGGTCAGGACTTTGTCTCTTCAGAATGCAGGCTTAATTTTTAATTGTTTTACCTATTTGCTTTATATATTCTATGTCTAGACCAGGTCAGCAAATACTTTTTGGAAAAAGCTAGCTACACTATCCTGTCTGTGTGACATATTACTGTTTGTTTTCTAAAACTCCTTTAAAAGTGTGCAAACCATTATCTCCTGAGTTGTATTAAACAGGCCCATAGGGTACAGTTTGCTGACTGCTTGGATATTTGAATTCAAAATCAAAGGTGATCTAGAGACAGTCTGAGAATCACTGCCATTGATCAGTTAAGTTATTCTGTGGCCAGCAAAGTGAACGCTAGTCTTTCACATACAATGTGGATAAATTCTTAAATTCCTGAGTAAAGGTGATTAGTTAAGGAGTGTACAGTTGGTAAAGCAAAAATACAATAAGACTCCTGTTTGCATTGACACTACTTAAAATTTAAGACAAAATCTTAAAGATATCTGCTTATTAATCATCACAGTAACCCTAAGAGGCAGGCTGTCTACACTATATAGAAACTGAGGTTTATCAGTGAAAACTTAGAATATACTTTAATATAACTAAGAGAGTAGAACTGAAATGTCCCTAACATAAATGTCAAATGCATGAGGTGGTGGGGTTGATTAATTCACACTGTATGCCTGTATCAAAAACATATGTGCCCTACAAAAATACACAACTATTATATGCCCACATAATTAAATATAAAGCATTTCTAAAAAGAAATCGAGGCTTTTAGAGGTTAAGTAGGATGCGCAAAGTCATACAAGTTGGTTGTGGAGATGAGACATAAGGCAGGTCAGTGTGAATGCAAAGCTCAGACTATTAGTCATAAAAATAATTTCTGATAAAGCTATCAACTTGAAAAAGTGTTTGGAAAACCTATTAGCTACCCCAGATTTATCTAATAGAATATGTAGATTGTAATGGATGTGTTGACTGCTCAGACCTCCATTCCAGGCCGAGGTCTTCATCCCCCAGCAGCTGGGAGCGTCAGGCTGCTGCACAGCTCAAAACTGAACCCCATTCCCAAAGCCACGCCCCCCTCCCAGGAGCACCCCTTATCCAATTACTCTCATGTGGTGGCTATGAGGGTGTGGAAGTTCAATCCCCTTGTCACAGATGGGATGAATTTGAAGGGCCATCTGGAGCTCTACCTCATAGGATCAACTGATGTCTTTGTTAGGACTGTATTATACAGTTAAACTCTTACCTATGCCTAAACCTGTTTTTCACTCCTTAACAGGCGTTGGTCCTGAAGGCACTTTCCAATAAACCTCCTGCATGGAAATTTCCATCTCTGAATCTGTTTCTGGGGACCCCAAGCTAAATTAGCACAGGCCTTGCTGGAGTCATTGATAAAATGAGGCCAGGCAAACAAAGGGCAGCGTGTCACGGGCACTGCGAGGGCCAGGCTTATTACAAGGTCCAGGAACTCCCTAGCTTCTCTACAAAGCTGTGTGTCCCCATACATTTTTACGGGGAGAGAAACTAGTTACAGCAGGCTTTCTAAGGGATTCATGACCCAAGCAAGACTGAAAACCACAATTCTGCAAATAATAGGCTGACACTGACCCATCATTAACATCCACTTTGCTCTTTATAACAGTTGTTCAACCAGATATAAGTCCATCCAGCTATCTCATTCAGCCTACATTTTTTTCATCTTTTTAAAAAACTTACCATGAGAGATGGTGTCAAACACCTTCTTGAATTATGCTTGCTCCCCTGACACATCTAATTCAGCTGTGTGCTAAATTGACTTTGTTAAGGCAGCCTTGAATTCCTTTTTAAGTACATTTTTAAAAACATTTCCAGGACAAAGAGTAATTCTCCTTGATGGGGAAGGCAGAAATAAAATAGGATTCAAGTAGCTTTTCTGCCTGCGGCCAGTTCATAACAGCACGTTTGCCCCGGTGGCTCTATCACTTTCTCTTTGTTTCTCTGGCTCAAAAAATACCTAAAAGGTGTTTTTGTTGTTGTTTCCTTATTGAAGCCTGATTCTGGCTCCACACCATCTGACAATCTCTTGTTATCTTTTTTTTTTTTTTGAGACAGAGCCTCAAGCTGTCCCCCTGGGTAGAGTGCCGTGGCTTTACAGCTCACAGCAACCTCCAACTCCTGGGCTCAAGCGAGTCTCCTGCCTCCGCCTCCCAAGTAGCTGGGACCACAGGCGCCCGCCACAACGCCTGACTATTTTTTGGTTGCAGCCGTCATTGTTGTTTTGGCAGGTCCGGGCTGGGGATTCGAACCCGCCACCTTAGGTGTACGTGCCTGGCGCCTTAGCCGGTTGAGCTATAGGCACCAAGCCAATCTCTTGTTATCTTGAGCGTCTCCCCACCACCTCCACCTCTCATTCCTAATAGCTCTTACCAGGTTGGGTCTCGGCTCCTGATCCTGCACTTTCCTTCCTCCTCTTTCCATGTTTCCTACAGAATCTCGGAATGAAGTTAAAGAGTCCTTGCCCTACCTCCCCCAAACACGAAAAGCTTTTCCAAATTGTGGTGCGCCAAGTTCTTAGAGCAATAACCTTATTATTAACTAACCTGATGAACTGTTGAGCCACCAGAGCCCTGAGCATCTGAAGAACGGGTCACTGGAAGTGGTGGTACAAGGTCCATTTTTGAACTGCAGAGAGTGAGTTTCAGAATTAGTGATTAGAACAGTACCTAGAATCAGAAATTGACTTGGAAGAGGGCTGCAGTGTAGAAATAGAACATTTCTATCAGCACAGAAAGAGTTCTCTTGAAATGTACTGTCCTGGAGCCAGGAGGGTGATGACACAGACCACTTACTTCACCTCCGAGAGAACAGACCGCTCTCCGTCTGAACACTGGGACCTGCGGTACTGGCGGTAGCTCCGCGGTGAGTGGGAATGCCTGATGCGGATCGGGTCACCTTGAGTCCTGAACAAGCAACCAGAAACATGAGAACACTCCCTGGACGTCAGAACAGGGTAATTTGGAGTTCTTCCTTCATACTGGAGCCACAAAGAGGATAGTGACTTTCAGAGTTTAACAAACCAATTTGATTTCTCTGGTCTTTGAAAGAATGAGTTACAAATTTTACAAGTTAACAAAAGAAAAATGCTCCCATGACCATATGTGAAAAATGAACTCTTTAAATACATGTGTATGTGTGTGTGCACACGTGTGTATTGTTTAACCACCAAATTTTAAATGAAATTATTCCCAATGGTTGAATTCTTTGTAGTAGAGTATGGAGGAAAAACTTCTATAATGCAGGCAAAATGGCATTCCTATCAGAAAAACTTGGTCATTGTCCTAGCTACTAAGTAGCCTGTTAGTAAGAATCCCATCTTTAGGGCGGCGCCTGTGGCTCAAAGGAGTAGGGCGCCGGCCCCATATACTGGAGGTGGTGGGTTCAAACCCAGCCCCAGCCAAAAACTGCAAAAAATAAATAAGTAAATAAATAAACATAAAAAAAAATCCCACCTTTACTTTGAAAACTGCTAAGAGTAGACCCTAAATGTTCTCACCACAAATAAGTATGAGAGGGGACAGATGTTAGTTTGATTTAATCATTTCACAATGTATACATATAAAACATTATATACAATTGTTATTTGCCTAGTATACCCTAAGAAAAAAGAATTTACCTAAAGATGGGGCCGGGGTGGGGCCCCATCTTTAGGTAAATTTTAGGTAGCTGGGGTGTACCAGCCTGCTACTTCACTGGGGTGGGAAGGGAGCCTGGGTCGTAGGAGGGAAATAAAGCAGGTACCTTGCATCCCACGCTGGCCAGTGACCAGGAACCCTGTCATGATTTCCTGAAGCCTGTGCAGATACGCTAAGTGCCTATCAGGTATTGGACTGGGCTTATGACAATTTTGTGGTCAACTTAATTCTCTTTGTCTTAAAATAATAGATAAAAATAAAATTTGTTGCCAATTCAGTGACTATCTCAGAAAAAATTTTGAAAGTGAAATTAATCACTGGAAACTCCTCTGCACCTACCACATACAAATAGGCAGCTAAGGGAGAGGCTAGTAATTGTGATGCACAGAAAGAATAATTAGCTTTAATACACCCTTTCTACTTCTTTCCATACAGTCACCTCTAACCTAGTGTGAAGACAAAGCACTACACCACAAAACACAACCAAAGAGTAAGAATGGATTACTCATAACACTAATCAAGCTCTGCGAAAACATACTCACTCTATTTTAGTGTATGGAATCTCTTTTAGTTGTTCTTCTGACAATCCAGATGGATCAACAAGCTCCTTTCTAGAAAGGAATAAGCAAGAAAATGATAGTTGTGCTGCTGATACAAATGCTATAATATCTTTTACTAATTTTCGTTTTGCAATCTTGTCCCCAAATCCAGTATTAGTAAAACTAGTATGACGTATAAGTTGGAACAAACATTTAAAAACCAGAAAGTGTTCAAGGAAGAATAGAAGGAAAACCTTTTCTGTAGTTTTTTGCTGCCTTTTTTCTGCATTCACATTTTCTAGTCATTCCCTATTTCTCTCTAATAGATCTGCTTCTCTCCACTCTCGTGGATGTCTTTTCTTCTTCTGAATTTGTTTTCCTTGGTATTTATTTCTAAACTTTAGGCCTGAGGTCCATTTACAGAGAAGCTGAATGGCCGTAAGCGAGGAGGTGTGAGGCTGCCTGGCGACAGGCTGTTGGCCTGGTAAGGCACCACCACCACCACCTGCTCCACATACCACAAGACGATGATCGTGAACTCTACTTGGCAGGGGTCAGACTGAGGCTGCCTCTCAGAATCAGGGTTCTTCATTGCAGCTGCATTAAAACTACACGGGGAAAAAAATAAAAAACAACAAAAACAGTACTCACTGAATATGCTTCCATAACTCTTCTTTTGCTTGAATGTCAGGGCTTCTCCTATAAATGGAGAAAACAACACTCCTCTCAGTAAACATGCTTCAGCTCGCAACCTAATGGCCGACTTTAATAGTTCTCCAACTGTGAAGTTCCTACTTGCCAGCTGAGACCAGACAAGGGAAGATTAGGCTGGGAGAGTAATGTGATGGTTAGCACAGAGATACCAGGTAATTTATTGCTACTTGCCACTGAAGAATAATCACATAAATAAGCAGCTATGTCTTTAATGAAAGAGCTCAGAACTACACAGCCATGTCCACACACGCTCCACTGGTGACTGCACAGTGAAAAATGATTCAAGGCTCCTGTTTCTGGTCCTTCTAGATATTTGTAAAGGCAAAAGCAGAATTCCCCTGATTCTAAAGAGCCCCCAACACGATCTGCGATTGCCTAGTGGAAGCCACAACCCAAGGGAGGAAGCAACGGGCAGGACAGCCCAGAGGACGACCAATGACCCCCCTCATGTGACAGCTGGCCTTGCACTTCTCTAACAAAACTTGGACCCACAGATTCTAGAAGTGATCTGTGGCCTTGGCTCATGCTGCCAATCTCTGTATTCCCTTCTCCATCCCTAACTATCCACCTTACAACTCTCCTCTGAGAACTACGTGAGTAGACATTCTACCACTAACTTCCTACAACTTAAGATCAGCCTTCCTGTGTCCTCCACTCTCTGTTGTATCAACTATGACTCCCCAGCTGGAACACTGGGAATCTGTTATCACTGCAATTGTTGCCACAGAATTATTTTTTCTCTTAGTGAGACAAAAAGCTTTCTTTTTTTTTTTTTTTTTTT